TTTGGCGAGCTTTTTAACTCAGGACTGTCGCTTTTGGCCGTTCGATACGTTACCTGCTGTCGCTTTTGCAATGAAACAACTGTCCAGTATGTCCAAAACGACGATCCAATTTTTTTCTGATGTGGGATAACGACAGAAGCTTTATGTATCTCCGAATTTGTTCCAATTCCAGACTTATTGGCTCTTCCACGGCACCTCCTCCAGGTGTTACTCTTCGCCTGCTAGCATCCGATGTACCCGACCAGGGCATACGACACTGGGCGGTTCGCGCACTGGCCGCGGTCCCTCCAGACACCCTGCTCCATTATATCCCCCAGGCGTTGGAGGTGAGAATTATCTGCTTTGACTGCGAAGTTTCTTTCCCGCTCTTGTTGCGTGCTACGGGCAACTTGCCGATACTCCTCTATTTTCCTGCGGGTTGTGCTGAAAGCATTTTTCCATTTGCCCTTTACAGAATGTGCACCCTTTCCTGAAAATTAACACTGAGTTGCACCGCTTTGCTCTCCTTTGTGTAGACCTACTTTCCAGGATACAAGTTAACGTCCTTTTGCCACTGGCATTAACGTCATGCCCTGTCCAATTCTATTCTCTCTAGACAATTAACTTCGATCTCTACTTGGATTACTCCGGAATCGCTAGTCTCCTGTTGCAACGGGCCTCGTCCTCCATGCGGTTTGCGAACGCACTATTTTGGTAAGCTCACTTATTTTGAACACATTTAAAAATTTCCAAAACAATTGCCCTCTCGGCAGCTGCGTTTTCCAGGGCCTAAGTGACCTTCACGTCGTTCATCCTACGTCACGTTACCAAAGCCACATAAGAATCATTCAAATGCCTGACACACTTGCATCGGCTACATTTAGGTCTATGCTTATCCTTTTCGGATATACGCATCCTCTTTTTTATTTACGACTTGTTTCTCCCGCGTAATCGTTCTCCATTTCGTTGTGTCCTGGCTTGCTTTCTTCGGCGCAACCCCAAGAGAGCAACCACATTCTCATTCCTCGTTCTGAAACCCGTGCTTGCGTAATGCAGTCCACTCATCATTCCTGTAGTGACTATGCGAAGCCTAGACTAGGTAATCGCACGAGACGGACAGAAAAACCGCAGGCTACTGAACCTATGCTATACGCAAGGTCTGGGCAGAGAAAATAACACGGTGACTTCCTGTTACCGTGATTCTGTAATTCCAATTAAAGACAGTAGTCAAATTACGATTAGGTTTACAAGCGTAATAAGAAAGGACGCAAATTAGATGATGTGCAGCGGCATGCGTAGCAGTTTGGCAATCGGCGGTCTTTTAGGGGTGATCTTGAAGAGTCAAAGATATGCCAAGTTGCGATTTGAATACGTAAAGAGGTGCATAGTGTAAGTGTTCTAAGCAAACATAAGTATATATCTGTATGGAAATAAGTGAATGGTTTGGGTATAGTGATCTCATGTCCCCACATAGATAATGCTTTTTGGCTGAATAACCGGGCTTCTCTTTTGACTTTACAATCCCTGTTCATTTCGGTTCATTCCAACAATTGCCTTTTGTATACGTAAGTTTGGCAAATCAACTCGCATCAATCCAAGTCGTCGTGATGAGGTTGATGTAACATGAATGAAATCCATCACAATCAAATTCAGTAAGGTGACAGTCACACTTTCGGGAAAATACTGGTTTTTGTCCTCTCCGTCTTCGTCAGCAATGCGCCGTCTACCACTGCCCATTACGTAGTCAGAGCCTGCGACCCCATTCTAACGGTCAATGTCACTGCGGATTGTTAGACGGTAACGACTTATCTGGCCGATTTATTATTTGTGATACGGCGAGACTCCTCCTCCACTGACTTTCCCCTACCTGTCTGTGTCAAGAACTATACTCTGCGATTGATCAGTAGTCAGCATAAATGTGGGTAGCCGTTGCTCAGATCGATCAGGCACCACAGTTGTCTGCGCTAATACCTATGTCTATATAAATGGATAATAGCAACCACGTTGGCCTGGTACCTTCACCTTTGGCCCAGGGGCTTTAATCAATGACTCGCAGCGGAAAAGGTGCATCTTCTAGTCAACCTCTGGAGAATAGATTGCGCAGTGTGTGTAATTCACTGGAAGATGAAACGGCAATTCTATTCTCATTGTTATAACCATCCATTTGTGTCCTATAACTCCTCACACAACACATCGGCCAGCAAAGTAAGGTCAACTGGAGGTAAGTTTTTGGAACTGGAGGACATCCGTTTGAAATACCATTATTTTGAGATAGGGTTTGGATTTGTCGGTCACACCATGTCACGTATCTATCTTCACACCGTTGTTGCTCATCCAAACACCCTCATCTAATCGGGCGGTCTCCATTAACGCGGCTTAGCCTTTCACAGCGTTTGTTCGTGTTCGTTTGCTACGTCATCCCGGTTCAGCCTCAGTTCGCATCGACTTCGTTCCATTCTGTGAGTTACCAACGTGCGTGCTTTGAAATTGCTTGAGCATATACGTTTGTATGTGATACACTCATCATTATCCGCCACTGTGACGCTTGTTTTTCCAAGGCACTTGAACACTGCTGTTCGGACCTCGTGCACCGAATGCTATTCCGCTCAGTCTTCGTTCGATACCATCATTTGGCGTTGCCGCCGATTCCTCATCATAAAATCGGCTCTGATGCACCTAGCCAGTCCTAGATTACGCACAATTTGGATGAAGCAAGAAGAGGCGATTGAAAAGTTATCCATAGCCGGTACGTCCTCCGCTATCTCAAGGCTGCAGTTTAAATTAGCTCACTTTCTCATTTCTTTATTCCTAACAGTTGGTTTAATTTGTTACCTGTCAACTGTAACGTTCAAGCTCACCCCACATTTCCACGTGTTTTCGAGGAGTACGCCCACGACATCAACTGATTCGTCTTGTGTGATCACTGTTTCTCATGTACTCTACACCTTAGGTGGCCATACGTCCCGATTTAAAGCAAGACAGTCCCTCATTTCCTGCTGTCGTCCCGCTTTTTTATATATTTGATGGGTGTGACGCACTGATGTCCCGCTTGGAGGTCGGACACCTCAGAATGTCCCTCTTTGAGCATGCAGAATGTACGTGAAAAGAACCAGTCAGTGACGGTGAGTGCACATCATAAAATCAAATAAATGGGCGGGCATGAGTTGTGCGGGCTAGTCGACTGCTTGGGTGGGCAACACGACAAGACCTTTAAAAAAGAGAAGTGTCAGCTGTACGACCCAACTTTGCTTCGCTGCCGTGCGACCATCACCAGTTGCGCGCGGGCTGAGTATATCGCGAGGACGCCCGCCTCTACGCGGATTCGAATCCGTGACCTGGTGATTGCAAGTCAGGCGTGCAGACCACTCGGCCACCGTCTGAGATCTTTACTACAATATAAAAAAGGGGAAAGAAAAGCGCTGATGAAATTTTTGCGTCTTTACTGAAGGACGTCTGCATTAACTACGGTTTGTTGGGGAACTCATGTGTAAACGAACGTGTAAGATGATTACTCTATTGGAGAGCGATTTTCCATTCATGTAAAGGTAACACGCGACAACCGTCCGCATGTTCGATGTGGTACCTGCGAATCCGAATTTTCTTTTTCTCACGATGGTACATCAGATATCACAAATCACCTAAAATCGGCTCATCATAAGGTAGCAGTGTCTGTGGCAGCATCTTCTACCAACCAACAACGTTTGGAAACACAGAAGCTGAGTTAGCAGCCGCAGAAGGTACCTTCGATTATCCCGCTGTGTTTCATAACCACAGTTTCCGCTCCATGAATTGCACCGGCAAGTTGGTAAAGAAATTTTTCGAGTCAAACTTTGCTTGTGGCCGCACAAAATGTGAGGTAATAATAACTAATAACCTGTTCTTATTTGCCGGTGACCAACTTTAAGAAAAATTGAAGAAAGCAAAATTCGTGTCAGTATTTACAGGCGCCTCAAACCACTCCTTGTGAGATGTCTTTTACCATCATCGGGTATTGAACTAAATTTATTGCACCTACAGTCACTGACTGATGTCGCATCGGACATCATTTGTGAATTTGTAGGGAATGTGTTGTAACAAAATACTGTGACCAGAAAATCGATGGGATTTTGTGCTGAGCACAGCAACAAAATTTCGCTAGCGTTCAGAGGAGGGGACAAAATAATGCATTTGCGAAATCGCAATTTCGATTGGAGAAACACATGTGGAAACTGGTTGCGTGGCTCACATTGTCCAAAATGCATTGCAAACTATAGCTGACTACTGTCTTCCTAATGACGTCGTAATAGTTAAGGTGAAAATCTCTTCTTACTTTTCCACTTACACTGCTCGTCTTGAAGAACTGAAGATATTCTTTGACTCTGCAATGGTAGGGTACCAACGCATTCTAGGACACGGGAAAACCAGATGGCTTTCACTTATGCCAGCAGTGGAGAGAATCCTGAAGCTCTTTTCAGCGTTGAAATCCTATCTTTTGTCTCGATAGAGGTGTCCTACAGTATTACCTTCTTTTAAAATCCCTGCGCTAAGCTTTGACTCTTCTTTATGCACATCCTCTGTACCCTTTTCACACTACTCTACTTAAAATTGCAGAACCAAATATTCCAGCACTGGAAGTGTCGTCTGCAATGTACGAATTTCTGCAGATGTGCAGGGACAGGAGCAGAAACAACTTTGTTCCAAACAGGGTAAAGGTCCGATTTGGCCAGCTCGAAAGAGCGGGTCTCAACAGAAAAACAGATGTGATGTATATTATCACCAGCTTCTACGATTACCTACAGGTTTATCTACATGAAATAGTGAATCAATTTCAAGAACTGAGTATTTTCAGATGGCAACGACAACACTTAGACCCGGAAGTTTTTGGGAACTCCTGAACCTTTGCATGACCACTTATTTCCGCTTTGATGGACAAGTATACCAGCAACTGAGAGGAACTCCCATGGGATCCCCAATTTCGGGGCTCATTGCAGAAGCCGTAATGCAGAAATTGGAGCGCATCGCACTGCCATCTATCAGCCCAAAACTCGGGATACGATACGTGGACGACACGTTTGTCATCGTAAAACGGAACAGAGTACAAGCCACGCACGAGTTGCTCAACAACACATTCGAGGATATCAAATTTACGATTGAATTAGAGAAGGATAACAAGTTGTCGTTTTTGGATGTACTGGTCACTAGGAATCCCGACGGATTTCTGCAAACGTGCGTATATCGGTAGAAAATGCATATGGACCAGATATTAAGCTACCACAGCAACCACCCGATGAATCACAAGAAGAGCTGCATTCAACCCCTGTTCAAAAGAGCGGAAAAGCATTGCAACACAGCCGAATTGCGGAAACAGGAAGCAAAACACCTATATCAAGTGTGTAGAAACAACGGTTATCCGAGAAATTTCATCAGAAGAAGCTTAAAGAAAGGAACGTCTCATCAACAGCAGCGGCAGCAGTCACCTGAGCAAGCAACAAACGAATAGTGCTCCCCTACATCAAGAACGCCTCCGAACTAACAGGAAGATTGCTGCAGTCACATGGAATCTCTGTGGCTCACAAACCAAGTGCCACCCTAAGGAAATTGATCTCAAGACCCAAAGAAAAAGTCAATCAAGCCGACTAATGCAATGTCATCTGTCAGGTAAAATGCAGCGACTGCGATAAAAACTACGTCGGACAAACTGGAAGAAGGTTTTGTACACGAATCACCGAACACAAGGCGGCCGTCAGAAGACATGATCCGCACTCATTGGTTTCTGCGCACGAAGATCAAGAAGGGCACCATTTCGATCTGGAGAATGTTAAGATCCTAGCACATGGAAGTACAAAATACGCCAGGGAGTTTTTGGAAGCCTGGTACTCTACAACGAATTCAATCAATCGACACATCGAACTGGACGCAGTATACACAACACTACTGGCGAACGACCGCCAACTCAATCGATTGAATCCGGTGGAACGTGTGACTAGCCAACCAGAACTGACGACAGACTCGCTCACAAGCGCAAGCAGACAAAGGCCACGAAACACAAGGAGTCAAGGTCAACAGTCATCTGCCCATCAACCAGGCTGAAGGCGGATCGAACTCCCAACCAATAGGATTGTTCGCCTCCACAGGCAACCACGGCGGTATAAAAACGCGCGCACACCACGCTCAGCGCACTCTCACCAAAGCTCCTCTACGCTTTTCTACGCTACTGCACGCCACTCAACTACGCACTGATGATGTCACTCGATTGGTGACGAAACGTTTGCAACCAAATTGCCAAGCTCAGCGAACAGTTCTAACTACCATCTGAACAACCTGAGCTACCAGTCTTCAATTATATAGTGAGCATTTTCAGTTAAGATTGCCTTGAAACAACCACCGTTTTGGGAAGAAAGTTGAAGCAAGCGTCAGTCTTATTGGATCTAAACTCCCAGACTTGGAAATTAATGACAACGAGCTGTTTGACGAAGTTAACAAGATGTGTAGGTTTGCATCAGCCGACAAAATTTCCTATTAGAACTGCAAACAAATAAAGGTTGACATGCGGTGGGTGGAAGAGTTTTCCCATTTCCAGGCCAAATCGTTCCCTTATGAACAAACAGAAACTTTGTATGTATTCTCTGTCTCCCCCTGGAACCAGTGCACCTACTGAAAGTATCTTCTCACACATGAACACTGTATGGACAAGCGAGAAAACGCAGCTTAGCGTTCAAACACTGAAAGCGATGCTTATGGTGAAATGCAATTTTGAGGACAAAAGTACCGGGTATCCCTGCGAACGACTTCACGACATGCTGATGCAGCGCCCAGATCTACTACGGAAAATACATTCATCTGAGAAGTATTGCTCTACAACTGTGGTTCCAGATGATACAATGTCAAGCAGCACATCAACTTCAGTAGCGCAGCCATTGTACTGACTAATGACGTAAGTACTCTTTGTTATTGCAGTGAAGTAATACATGTAGATATTTAGCTTTTCCATTTTTTTGTACGGGCAGCATATGCTGAAACAACAGGAAGTAGGTTTAGCGTCCTGCTTTGGCCAGCGAAAAATCTGGCCACCTTATCAACTATCCCCATCTGAGGGGAGCCCCGCATTACGTTTGCTGACTGCACCGGTTATCGTCTACCACACGATTACCCGGTGTCATTTGCACGCAATGGTTGCATCATATCCCCCTTGAACCCATTTTCCTTCTTGACCTGTTGCCAGTTTCCGTTCTCAGTTTTGTCTACCATTGCTGCTGTGAACGGCCACTAAACCCTTGTGTCTACAGATGCACAATAAGAAACTTGCAATATACCGTCCGCTCACTCAATGCCCACTGTTACTTAGGATGAGAACCTCAATTGATTCGAAGCTGACTCATGCTGCCTCATTGTGCATGTAATTGAGGAAAGCATTTTTTATCAGCAGCGCATAGCACAGGTGCTGGATCCTGGTCCGTTCCATGCTGGAGCTACAGTTTGAGCTTGATTCTGTCACGAAGACAATACACCAAGTTACCTCTCAACAACGATCAACCTTCTCCATGTTTAGCCGACGCTGGTACGACATATATACATATATATATATATATATATATATATATATATATATATATATATATATATATCTGAAAGATAGAGTCTGCTATTTAGCCATCCGTTCAACATTCATGCACGCCTGTGAAACCTGATTCATCAGATCGGTAGACAAAACTAGTCTAGCTGCGTTCGATCACCGATATCTTCTCAGCATAACTCATGACTGGTGGG